AAAACGCATATTGTGATGACCCCTGCTTATGGATGTGTGATATGTGTGTGCATCTGTCCGGATATTTCAACTCGGCATCCAGACAAGCTCCAGCGCCAATTTTGCAGGTGGGCTCACCGGCCAAATGCCATCCCAGCACCGCGGTACCAATTATCACGCAGGTCTGGCCTCGCGTACGAGAGGGTGGAATTTTTGGCGAGAAAATCGCTAACTCGGGAATCAAAGCTGAAATTTCCAAGGAATGTTCCTAGCAGAAGTACAACTTAAAATTATCAAATTCAGCCCCTAATTGTGTGTGATACTCATGTGCGGCCCCGAGAAAATTTTTGGCGAGAAAATGGCTAACTCGGGAGCCAGAAAAGCTGAAAAGCTGAAAAAGGGAGGCTGAAATTTTCAGAGAATGTTCTTAGCATATGCACAGCTTAAATTCATCAAATTCATCTCCTGTTTTGCGTGCGTGACTTTCACGTGCGACCCCATGAAATTTTTGGCGCGAAAGCGGCTAACTCGCGAACCAGGAAAAGTGGAAGGCTGAAATTTTCAGGGAACGTCCCCAGCACATGCACAACTTAAGTTTAACAAATCCAGCCGTCAGGCGCCCATGTTTATCACATACGGCGCCACGAAAATTTTTGGTGCGAAAATGGCTAACTCAGGAACTGGGAAAGCTGAGAGGTTGAAATTTTTAGGCAATATTCTCAGCACAAGATCAACTTAAAATTATGAAACTAAGTCCTCCGCCATGCGTAATGCGTGGTTGTCACGTACGGACTTCGAGGACCAGTATCACACATTTCTAGCTACTGGGTTTTCGAGCAATCTCATTACAGCACGAAATTTTGCAAAAACGCATAATCGCACGGGCCCGCCCGGTGCGCGTCGCTAATGGTTATTTTCATCCTTCGTTACTAAGGTTGTTGATGAAAGTGTGCATGGGTAAATAAAAAAACACTTTGAGCAATCGTATAAAACTGTTGGAAAATTAGACAAAACGAGTAATTTATTGCTTAGATCGAACTGGCTATAATGCGGGATACTGATTTAGTTGGATAAAACGGAACAGGAAAGCTTAGGAACTGCTAAGTAGCACATTTATTTTGTAAATTTGGGTGAGGGACCAGACAGAATTTAACAGGATGAAGTGTTTCTGCCGCGTAAAATAGCATATCATTTTCTTCCAGAATAAGAACCATCCGTAGTACTAGGTGGACAA